CACATGGCCAGCAGCGGGCTGTAGTAGTAGCCCCCGCCGCTCATCTGCGCCTGCGGGTTCACCCCCACCACGTAGACGATGCTGGCCACCAACATCACCAACGCCAGCACCGCGCTGGCCACCAGCACCGCCAGGTAGAACCGGCGCGACCTCGACCCGCCGGACCTGCTCAAACCGGCCACCAGAAATCCCAGCTGGGCCAGGAAGCAGAGCACCGCCATGGCCATCATGAAACCGTTGGCCGTCCGCGGGTTGGTGACACCGCCGTAATAACCGTACCCGTAACCGTAATTCACCCCTCCGCCGTAATAACCGGAGCCGTAGAAGCCTCCCAGGCCGTTCCCGTAGCCACCGTAGCCGTAGCCGTATTCCCAGGCCAGCGTGGAGGCCACGCAGGCGAAGACGGCGACGCAGAGCAGCATCACCGCGGCCTCCAGCGCCCGCACCAGCCCCGGCGGCGACCACCACTTGTAGAAATGTTGGGGAACGTCCTCCACGTAGTAGGAGCCCGGCGGTGGCGAGCGGGAGGTGAAGTCGTAGCCGAAATCGCCGGTCGCTGGCCCGAATCCCGGCGGTGGTGGCCCAAATGCTGGAGGGGGTGGTCCGTAAGGGGCGGTGGGGCCGTCGAAGGGTTTTTTGGGGAGCATCCCTGGAAAGGACAGGGATAAAAGCGCTGCGGGGAGGTGGTGGAGGACTTTGGTCAGGCTGTTGTCACCAGGTTGTCACCAGGTTGTCACCAGGTTGTCACCAGGTGGAGGCGGCCACGCCGGAGGAAAGCTCAGAGGGGAAAAAGGGATCTTTGGGAAGAGTTGGGAGATGAGGAAAAATCCTCCGGGAAAAATCCTCCAGGAAAAAGAGTTTGGAGATCCAGAAAAATCCTCCAGGAGGAGTTTGGAGATCCAGAAAAATCCTCTGGAAAAATCCTCCAGGAAAAATCCTCCAGGAGGAGTTCGGCGATCTGGAAAAATCCTTCAGGAAAAATCCTCCAGGAAAAATCCTCCAGGAGGAGTTTGGAGATCCAGAAAAATACTTCAAGAGGAGTTTGGAGATCTGGAAAAATCCTCCGGGAAAAATCCTCCAGGAGGAGTTTGGAGATCCAGGAAAAATCCTCCGGGAAGAGTTTGGAGATCCAGAAAAACCCTCTGGGAAAAATCCTCCAGGAGGAGTTTGGAGATCCAGGAAAAATCCTCCAGAAAAATCCTCCAGGAGGAGTTTGGAGATCTGGGTCAGGAAAAGCTTTGGAGGTTTCTACGTGAAGGAACTCGGAGGAGCCACGGGAAAAAGCTCGGAGGTTCCAATCCGAAAAAAACTTGGAGATCCCAATCTGAAATAAGTTTGGAGATCCCAATCCGAAAAAAGATTGGAGATCCAACCAAAAAAAAGCTCGGGAATTCTGCAAAAAAAAGCTTGGAGATTCCGTGAAAAAAGCTTGGAGATCCCAATCCAAAAAAATCCTGGAGACCCCACCAAAAAAATTCTTGGAGACCCCACAAGAACAGCCTGGAGATTCCTCCTGGAAAAGCTGGAAAAGCTCCTCCAAAAGAATCTGGAGATCCGCTCTCAACAAGCCATGGAAACTTCCCAAAAAAATCCTGGAGACCCCACCAAAAAAATCCTGGAGACCCCACCCAAAAATCCTGGAGACCCCACCAGAAATCTTGGAAAGTCCACAAAAAAAGCTTGGAGACCCCACCAAAAAAAAAGCCTGGAGATCACCCCAAAAAAATCTTGGAAATCTCACAAAAAAGCCTGGAGACCCCACCAAAACAAATCTGGGAAACCTCCCCTGGAAGGACTCGGAGACCACCCCAAAAAAAAATTGGGAGACGCCTTAAAAAAGTTTCCTGGGGAAACTGAGGCACGGAGTCAGCAAGGGAAACTGAGGCATGGAGTCAGCAAGGGAAACTGAGGCATGGAGTCACCAGGGGAAACTGAGGCACGGTGTCACCACCCAGGAGGTTTTGAGGCGGGGAAACTGAGGCACGGTGAGTCACGCAGCCACGCCGGGCTCTCGGTGTCACCTCCCTGTCCCTCCCCCGGGAGCCAGGCAGGGAATTAATTGGGATTGTTGGAATTCTCTCGGTTTTGGCCTCAGCTGATCCGGGAGGATTAAAAACGGAAATAATCGCGATGAAAAGAATGATTAAATTAAAAAAGAAATAAAAATTTAAATTTAAAATTAAAATTTAAAGTAAAAATTTAAAGTAAAAAAGATGAAGATTAAAATAGAGATGAAATTAAAATGGAGATTAAAATAAAGATGAGGTTCAAATGAAAATTGAAATCGTTAAAATTGCAAGAAAAATGAAAATAGAAATAGAAATAAATGTAAAAATAAAAATAAAAGTAAAAATAAAAATAAAAGTAAAAATAAAAATAAAACAAAAATAAAAATAAAAATAAAAATAAAAATAAATAAAAATAAAAATAAAAATAAAAATAAAAATAAAATAAAAATAAAATTAAAATAAAAATGAAAATAAAATTAAAATAAAAATAAAAATGAAAATAAAAATAAAAATAAAAATAAAATAAAAATGAAAATAAAATAAAAATAAAAATAAAAATAAAAATAAAATAAAAATGAAAATAAAATAAAAATAAAAATAAAAATGAAAATAAAAATAATTAAAATGACAATAAAAACATAAATGAAAATTTAAATAAAAATTAAAAATACAAATAAAAATAAGATAAAAATAACAATAAAAATAGAATAATTAAGACTAAAATAATTAAAAATAATTAAAAATAGAATAATTAAAATAATTCAAAACAGAATAATTAACAATAATTAACTAAAAATCATTGCAGAGGGCGGAGCCGCCGAATCCATTCTGGGAAAATTCAATTTTGGGGGCGTGGGGGGTCCCAAAATCACCAAAATCCGCGTGGGGACCCCCCCGGGGCCGGGCACAGATCCCGGAACAACGAAACCCAAAACGGTTCCGGCGGTACCGGGGGAGCCCGGCAAGGGCGGGGGGGCCCGGTTCCCAAAAATCCCAAATCCGCCAGTCCCGGTGGGAGCCCGGAGGACACCGGGACCGGAACCGGGAGCGGAACCGGGAGCGGGACCGGGAGCGGGACCGGAACCGGGAGCGGGACCGGGAGCGGGACCGGGACCGGAACCGGGAGCGGAACCGGGAGCGGGACCGGGAGCGGGACCGGGACCGGAAGTGGAACCGGGAGTGGAACCGGGAGCAGAACCGGGAGCGGAACCGGGACCGGAACCGGGACCGGAACCGGGAGCGGAACCGGGAGCGGAACCGGGACCCGAACCGGGAGCGGAACCGG